GCCATTACAGAAAAAATAAAAGAAAAAGGGCCCCACCACAAGAAAGGAACGAAAACCACAAATGAGACTTACAGGGGTTGCGAAATAGTAGGCTCTGATTCTTCTGAACAGTGTCGCTTCAGCCCCCCTCCCCCTTAGAGATGAGCTCACAGTGATGCTTATCCTTAATTTAATGAAGTGTGGGTGTGGCGTGACTTGTCTTGCATGGACAGAGAGATCTGTGGGATGGGCCACCCTCTACTATGACCAGAACTGCAACACAAAGTTAATCAAGGAACTACAGACCAAAAACTGCAACAAGATATGGGAAAGAGATGGTTAATTTTTATTCCATCAGAGGGTTTTTTCACTGTTTCCATCGCTACAAGTATAGGGAGGAAAATACAGTACAAATGGGAAGGAAAAGAGGGAAAAAAAAAATTTCTAAGTAAATTTCTGTACCCCACGCATCCACCTAATTACCCAAAAGCCTAAATCCTACACCAACCCACACACCCCTCTTCCCTTCCCTTCCTTCCACCATGAGCATCTGTTAGACAGAAGGCTTCGAGTTCTATTTGCTGTGTAATTCAAATTCTTGTTATGTTACAGACCATTAGTACAGCCTACTTCTTTACAAGTAAAAGGGTGACAGAAACTAAGATCTGACTATCTACCAATTATAAGCACGACATAACCTGAGAACATTGAGAAGAATAGTTCCTGATAGATTGAATGAATGTCGTCTATTAATTGTCCAATTTCTCCCATTCGTATCGACCGGGAAGTGGCTTGTCTGTGATCGGGTCAAAGTTGTACCTGCAGTTAACCGGATAATGTAATACTTCTGATGTTATGTTAATGCTCACTGGCTCTGCTAATAATGCTTTCAGCAGAGCAACTTTAGAAAGGCTTGACAAGACTGCTGAATATGAAGATTATAATTGTATCGCTTACTTCTCAATGAATTTTCTCTGCTGCTCTCCTTCGGCGCAGTTGAAGAAATCATCCACTTCTCGTGCGGTTGGTACATCCGTTGCAGAGGAGTTCTGCAGCTGTATCCTATCATCAGTTGTACTGGACGCCTTCGTAGAAGAACTGGGTGTTCGTATGCTCTCGGGATTCCTTATCAAACTGCAAGGGGTGGATTCTCTACTGCTCCCCAGTAAAATAGAAGTAAAACAAACACTCATTAGAATTGGATTATAAACAAAAACTACAGACCAATTCGCATACTGTAAACAAGCAAGAGGATGGAGGCATTTCTGAGAAATAAATCACAATGTAGCATATCAATTCATTCAATACATCACATGGGAACAAAAGGATGTGCAGAATGAACAGATTCCAGTTCCTTCAATTTGAACAGTGCACAATCAAATGGTTAAGGTTAAAATTTTCAGAGGAATCTTCACGTGATTCAGTAGAGCCCCACGCTGGATTGGCCAAAAGATACAAAAAGATAGCAATTATGGAGTCAGATGAACGAAGAAACAGGAGAATAAAGGTAAAGCAATTCAAAAAGCACAGTTCTACTTCTACAAAAGTAGTCTTACAGCTAGAGATAGATAGTGAAACTTTCATACATAAAAAGACTATAGAAACCAATATTAAACGCGATTACAGAAATGTGATAAAGACAAAGGCCCTTCTCAATTAATGCACAAGACAAAAAGATTTGAAACTACTGATAAAAAGAAGAGAGAAAAAAGGAAATGAAGTATGGAATTTTCAGTTTTTCGTGCCAACGAGGATAATGGTACCAAGAAGAAAGAAATTGCACTTCAAATATGAACTCCCACTGTCAGAATAACCTAAAATTAAGCTTGGAAATACTCTCTGAATTTCCTTGGACCAGATTAATTTACTCGTAGGAGATTGCAGTGTGTTGTGGAATTGAAAAAGAGTTTTGAAATCTTGTCTTGAAATGTGATGATGAACAGAGAGGAAGCGAAGAAGAGAGAAGCCTACCTGATTCTGCTTTCAAATTCCAAAAGATTTTCCCCAAACGAAGCTTCTTCCTGAGTA